GTACTATAGCGAATCTCAGTGTACTTTCGTTTCTTCGTCCAAACTTTCCGAGCTTGACTGTGATCCATAAATGCTGTGTTTATTATGCTTAAATGAAATCCGGATGTTAAGCTAATAGGATGGCTCATTTCTGGTTGGTGCTTCATTTCTGACTCTCTTATTGGTAAGTGCTTTGTGTTGCCGACCAGTTGCCCCGAAAATCAGGAAGTGCTTGTTCAGTGGGAGTCACGTAGTCAAAATCGTAACTTGGGGAACCGATTTCTACATTACCTGACAACTCTGATACCTGAAAGCTCAATGAAGATTGTATGTTGCGCAGATGCTGAGGTCATAGTGCTATCACAAGGGTGTGTACGCGTAGACCAATCCTGATATCGCTCATCTAGTATGTCGAATCAGATATAGCGCCTGCATTTATTGTTTGATAGCCTGTTTGACTATCATTGGCATCGAAGAGAAACTGAGCTGGCGTAGCAGAGGTTGTAATATTAATATGTGGGATTTCACGACCCAAAACCACCATGTGATTATGCGAGACGCCGTAGTGGAGGGCTCCGGAAATTTCAACCATCTGGTGTTCGTTAGCGTGCACTGACACCACACATACCACTTCGCCCCCATCGAAATGTGACTGCCGCTGCCGGGATCGAACCCGCGACCTCCTGGACAGCAGCGGAGCACCCTTGCCACTGACCGAACGAGGTGGACAGCAGAGGGTCTCAGACCGATATAGCAGTCGGTGGCGCAAACAGCAAAAATATAAAGAACAACCTAATATATTAGCTTAATATCCGGTTTCATTTCATTCTAAACAAACACCCAACTATATTACATTTACTGGAAGACGGAATTTCAGCTAGATCATTTAGAAAAATAACGAAAGAGTTCCTAGTGGACGAAAGCGATGCTTTTCTCCATTGTAGAAATTTGTAGTTAACGATGTTTTTGTATTCGTTGCACCTTGTTCATTATTGTTACTTGCCTGTTGTTTATTATACTCTAATTTGTCTTGTAGAGCAACTCGATTTCCTAGTCAAGATGTTTCTTGTTAATTTATTTGATAGAGGGCATGCATTTGTTTGTGTTTGCCACCACTCGAATGAGGACTGTTTGTATTTCTGTTCTTTTGTTCACACTTCTGGCGGTTCCTGTTTGATTATGGTGCCCGTGTACGATAACACGTGATGTTATAATTTTCTGAGTGCTGTGCTTGCGGTGTGTTTCTGCTTTTGCGGTGTGTTGTGCTTGCGGTGTGTTTCTTCACGACCTAGTCAGGCTTTTACTTAGCCTTTAGTCGTGTCCCCCAAGGCGATCTTGTTCAATTTTGCCTTGAATAAAAGCAAAGCAAACCAAACGAAACCAAACCTTGGTGATAGCGTCAAAGAATTGGCTCCAAAACACAGGTGATACGGAGACAAGATAACATTCACTTGTAAGTCAGCACTCGTCCTCGTCTCACCTCGGTTGATGCTTCTACTTTTGCATAGGGCAGTTTTAAGCAGGGAATACTAAATAGCCCACCCTGACACGTTACGTTGTCCATAAGCACTGACCTGCACGCGGAACTCATTCGCCATAGCGTCTCCCAGTTCCAGAAATAGTCGCTTCGTGGACCTCTTCAGTACGTAGGTTGTTGTCGGGGCAGCATTATGTACTCTAAATCGTGAAACACTTTATCTAAACACATATCCTCAATACCTAATCTCGTTCTAATCTATATCGACGGGTCATGTCAGAAGCAAGGCTTTGCATCGACACTCTTGTTTCATACATGCATATGAAGAGAAAAAATTTGTGAGCTCTGCCACTTCAAACACGTCGTTAACAAACGAAACCTAATTATGCGATCGTTTCTCCTTCACACTTCATATGTGAGCAATCGGAAACTGTTCGGTGAGTAGTTGTGAGTGAATAGAGAGCCTCATTACAATTTATGAAAGAAGCTAGGTTATGCAAACGACGTAGCTCATAGGAATAAAAATGAAGAAGACACGCGCCATTGAAAGCGCTACAACCCGATGTTTTTTTTTTTTAGTGCATTCCAAGAACACTTTCAAATCGCAGTAAATGTCACAGCTTATCATACGGCGCGTTAAACTTTTGATGAGGAGGATGTATTATCAGTGCGCTTGGCATCGAATGACACGTGATGTTTATTAAGACGGAAACCTTATGTCTGTCATCCACCCCATTTTCCTGTGTCATTTTCAAAAGGGGCACTTGTGAAAATATTGGTAAAAACAGACAAACACTCGTGAAAACTATCAAAGCTCAATATTACTTAGCATTCTTTTTTTTTTGTCTCTGCTTGGTCTTCTTGTTGGGAAGACCCAACTTGTGCAACCCTTACCGCTAAGGGAAGTGACGCAAACATTTTTTTGATGGTTGTGTCATAGAGAAACATACTTACATAAAGAGCAGACACTCCCGTAGGACCCTGCGGCCCAGCTACTGCTCTGCTTTCAGCGCTACGAGTGGTTGGTCAGACCCGATAATGTCTTCAGCAAAATAAAATAACATTTTTTTTCCTTTCCAGCGCTGCTGATTTGAGCCCACACCCTCATGCGCGAAAGCTGAGCGTCTTTACCACGAAGCTACACACCCATGCTTCCTCAGAGAGAGTACATGTACAGCGCATCTAAAGCACATGAATGAGCCTCCTTGTGCAAAAACGAATGCAGAAAGACAACACTTTCTAGTCATATTTCAATGTTTTCTGTTGTATGGCATTAAATTTCCTCAGCGGGACATGGTGTAGAGCGGACTATGAAAAATTGCACAAATAATAAAATTTCTTTGAGAAAAGTTGATGCTAAACTTGAACATTCAATGTCCTCCTGGGGAGGCTGTTACATGTCTTAAAAAAGGAGTAAAAGCGAGCATGCGTACGCCATCTAACGGTCGGTCAGACCCTTTCTTGCTGGGCTGTGAGAAGGCTCGAGTGGCCAATCTTTAGGTAGTAATTCTCTATGGTTGCGTGTCTTGGGCAAGATAGATGGGTATAGATCCTTGATAAAAATCACCGCCCAAGCATTTCGGGCCAACGCGTCAGTTGTTGGCGATGTTCTTGGAAAGTTGTCTGCTGTTAGGGCATTCGCACGATCCGTGCCCTTCGCACGCGGAGGTTGTAAGTGGAAACTGCTGCACGGCTGCGAAGGTATGAACTACGCCACTGACGGTGCTCCCGATGACGCGCACGCTTGGGTGTGACGTAGAGAACGACGTAACTTACGGCGCAGTGAGTGTAGACTGCTATCGCTTCTCGCGACGAACAGTTTTCGTCTCCCCTGGCCAAATACAGCTTTCACTGTAAAAAAAAGAACAGAATTATTGACTGAGTGGCTGGTTTATGGGGTTTAACGACTCAAGGTATTCAGGCCATCGGGGTGCCATAGTGGAGTGCTCCGGATGATTTCGACAGCACAGGGTTCTTAAACATGCACTGACATTGTACAGTACAGAGGTTTCTATTGTTTCGTCCACATCAGAGTTTGATCACGCGACTGGGATTCAACCCGTGCTTACGCGCAAAGCTGGGCCCGTAAGCACTAAGGCAGCGAGGCGGCCATTGGTGAGACAGGAGGAAAGTGATTTTCACTACCCTTTATCACGTTCTTCTGTCAGTTTCCTTCCATCCTTGGTGCAAGTCGTGGTTCTGAGAATAACCTATCAAGTTCCAGTCGTGAAATTTTGCATTCTTCCAACACCAGCTCTCCTTTTTTTTTTTAATCCAGGTTTTCCTCGCTGATGGCAGACAGAAACGCTAGCTCTACCTTTCAGGATTTACATATTTAGGCTAAGAAGCTATCATGCCAAATTGTCATTAGAAGAGTTGTTTCGCTCCATACTTGTGTATGACCAGATTCCTAAAGGCAGTAAATGAATGCTGTTCGAGAAACACTTTAACCTTTCAGCCCTGGATTTTTTATTTCGTTTGAATACACTTTTTGTGCGCGTTTTTCTTGTAGTTAGGACCTCAGAAGACCACAAACAAAAAATTTAGCCAATGGTACAAGCATTTTTGGATAAATTAACTTGGTATCAAATTAGGCGATTAGGGCTGAGTGATTGGAAAATGAAAAAAAAAAATGCCTTCTTTTTTCCTGCCAATCATTGGTGTGCACAAAATGGCAACCCACGTCTTACTTTCCAGCCCAGTACTCACTGAAACAGCTTCGGAACGCCATCCCAAAAATGGCGCTTACCCTCCTCAACTTACGCGCCTCGGCTTCACGGAAGACCTCGGTCGCGCTTCTTCTTCTTTGTGGCTGCTACCTCCACAAATGTGCCACAATATTGGTGTCAATTGCAGTGGGGATCATTGAAGAACTATGCCCCCAAGAATGAGTAGTATTGGTTACGTTTCCGAGATACTAGGGGAAGTGTTGTGCGGTAGTGTCAATTGACACCGCCGGGGCCGAAAGGGTTAAAGCGGACGCCTAAATATACATTAGGAGGGGGGGGGGGGGCACGTAAAGGGGGTCGAGGGGTCAAAAGTGCCCAGTCCACTATCCCATGCACTCTAAATTAAAGGAGCATAGCCTGGGAACTTTTGACCCCTCCCCTCCCGTTACATCCATGTAATTCGGACTTTTCGGGCTGTTCGACGCGGTATGACGTAACTAGTTCTCAGTCTAACTTCTCAAAAAAGTTGGCTCGCCATTTCCTTGCCTCTTGATTGTGTTTTCAGCTGCTCCCCACTAGAATCACGTGTTTGTTTTTCATCTGTATCGCAAACAGGATGCTTCGCTATTAGCTGCATGCAACTCCTTAACTAGGTCATGCGGTTTTTATACGATAACACACTTACCTACTTATCACTTCAATTGACGATTCTAACTCAATGAAGCGTAACTTCTAGAACTGAGAAAACATCTTTCCAGATGTATACTTACAAGGAGGCCCATTTGTTTAGCAGTTTTAGGTTCTTCAGCTACAGCTTCGAACCACAAAGAGGCAAGATAGCAAACATTGAGTTATGACACTGACGAACAGAAATCAACAAAACATCGTGGAAAACTTTATTACAAACTGTACAGAGTATTTACAGGCATCGAAACAAGACTGTGTCCAGTTCGTGACTCGGCTGTACGATCTTCGATCTGTGAGCGTTTCCCGTTCAACGGGCTCATGAGGAAGCAATGTGGAGTTGTGCCGCATGTAGAGCATTACAAGAGTGATGGTTTTACTGCAAGCACAAAGCAATAGTTGCGTTAGTAACGTGCCGGAATGTTATACAAAGTAGCTCTCTCCTTTATCGCTAAACCGGTGTAAGTAAACGAAATGACTACTTAAGTAAACGCGGTCCCCACAGCGAGCATTGAAACATTCTCGCTGTCCGTCACTTCATCGCAAACTGAACTGCTAGAATAGCACGTACAAAGCTATGAGCCGTTGGATGATCGCTGTAAAGATAAAACACGTGCTTCCACGACCGGTTGAGCAGAGTGCAGATGTTACCTAAGTCGTACAGGCGAAGAAGCAGGGTATAAAGCAACCTTTAGAAGCTGTCTGTACGAGGTATATATATATATATAAATTGTGTATAACTTGTGCTTTGTCATACTGCCGTTGCCTTTTTGACCAAAAGCCAACAGTGAGTTTGCATAGACTAGGATGACCCTTAGGCAGCGATTGTTCTGAAGGCAGTACAATAGAGGTGCCTGGAATTCGTCTCGTTTCCTATCGCGACCATTTCGCCTGCATAATCAATCCATGAGGCTCATCGCTTCACGACCAGTACTTGTTGGCGTCCTGAATGCCCGCTGTCTGTCAATGTCATACCACACATCAATGTCCACGCCACTTTGTGGCGTCACTAAAACTTCATCATTTCATTGCTCGATTCCTTCTCCTGCTGGGTTTCGGTGTTGACGACCACATTTTCCAGGTTGACGGTGATGTTGACGGCCTTCATGTCAGCTGAGAGCGTGAGGAAGTTGCACATGAGGCCGAGGATGAGAATCCACTCGCCGACAGAGGACCACGGGCTCATGCCGCGATACTGGAACAGAAGAGTAGTAAGAATAGTTTTAGTGCTTAAATGCTATGTTCAGTTTGCATGAAGGAAAGAAGGATAAGCTTAGCGGCTCGCTTTGTTTGTTAGACAAAATATTAATAATATCTAACAGAATCATACCAAGGAAGTATAGGCGATATTAGTAGAAGTAATTGTAATGTATATGTGAATAAAAAGGTGGAATGAAAAGATAACTTGCCGTAGGCAAGATCCAAGCCTGCGACCTTCGAAGTAACACTTTACTTTGCGCAACTTCAAGCACCGTAAAATAAATGCGGTGCCGTCATGAGGCGAATCAGCACTGGCACTACTGTGGGGCCAAAGGACGCTTAGTACATTATTCTAAAGGGACATTTTTTTCTGTTTATATATGAATGCCAAGTCATCAAATGTGAGGCCCAAGGGCCGGCTTTGATCCCTCCCATAGTACAGTACCTAGTACTCCAAATCGTTACCCACTATTTCTAAACATACTAAATACACATGTGCAGGTAGGTTACGTTACAGCCGGCCAGCTCTTCACTATAAAAGCCACATTTTAAAACACACGAATATAAGAAAAACTACAACAAATAACAGAATAAAAGTTAGAAAAGCAATCAAAATCCCTAGGGACATATACAATATACCAGACGAATAACCAATGAGCAGACTATTTTCATGAAGCTCACATTGCGACAGTCATCACCACACAGCTATTATTTGCAGAAATGCCACAACCCGAACCGTTCGGCAATGGCTGGCTGCGGAACAGGGCCAAACAGGACGAAACAGACCAAACAGGACGAAACACCAAAAAGAATAACGTAACACAAACTATCCCTGACTATCAACTGAACTATAAGTCTCATAACTAGCTAATATAAAAAAGTTAAGAAATTCGCAGACACTGCACAAGTGATTGAGGGGCCAGGGGAAGGACATAATGGCGAGCAAGGCCGACACCCTGAAGAATTTACGACACGCCACGCCATGCACACCTTTCAAATAGGTTTAATGCAAATTAGGTTTTTAAAGACGATATTAAAGACGATAGTCTTCCTTGGGGACCTTCGACGCAAAAAATTTCGGTCTGTCTGTCTGTCTGTCTGTCTGTCTGTCTGTCTGTCTGTAAATTTGTCTGTTTGTCCACTTTTACAAGCGTCGGGTACTTGAAATGGCTGACCCCATCCGCAGCAACCACCAATGTTGCCCAAGGTTGAGCATTCATGCTTGTGCAATTGTCAAATAAAAAGCAATTATTGCGCATGTCTGGGGCACCATACAACACGCATATATTCTGAATATACATCTCTTACTAGAAAACGCATACATAAGTATTTTTAAGGACCGTAGCGCTTATCACGCTGCGCTTACCATGCAACGCTTGCACGAAACTGGGAGTGTTTCCAACGTTTTGCTAAGACGAGATGGTGGTGGCACCTACCCGTCGCTTCGCGTTCTACACCTTATCACCTCTGAGACGTGCGCGCACGGACACGCGCTTTGTTTTCAAAAAGAAACTGCCAGATGGCGCTCATGTCTCACGTGTGACGTGACTTGATGCGCTCGTTCGCCTCCACTGCACGCTCGAAGCGCTCTAACGCAGCACCTCCGAAATACCATTCACCGTTTTTCTTGCACAGGACATCAAATAAATGTTTTGTTCACTCTCTCCACACGCAAGACTATCGTCTTTCGACGACATTTGCAGATTGCATACAGATAAGGGGCCATTTTTTTTTCATGCAGAATGAGAGTGAGTACGCTGACGCACAAATGGTACGGCTTGGAGATATGCGTAGCCGCAACAGGCCCACGTGCCCTTTAATTTCCATGACTAAGCAAAATCGGGGTATCACCAAGGAGGACCCAAATATTTGACGCTGTGGTGATAGGATGCCATCCAGTTACGACAGGGGTGGGTGCAAGTGGTGACCAGTACAGACGGGGGGAATGGGCAGCTGAAACTAAATTGTTTTTTTGGAATCGAAGCCTGCAAAATTTAGTATAGGTACACAGTTCTTTGTGTTGATTTCAATGCTCGTTACGAAGTTTTGTAGTGTTCAAATGTTTTAGTAGTGAAAGTGTTTTGCACATCTAATGGCATAACGAGCTACTAAAGCCGAAAATGTAACATTCGAAGTTGCGGGCATTCGCACTTTCTTAGAAAAAGGTGTTTTACCAAAGAAAATGAGGGCCCTGATATATGTGATATCCCTTGAAATGGTTATGTAACATTGTGAAAGTAAAGCAGAAAAGCAGAGCCAGACTTACGATAGTGCCACGATTTGGGTTTGGCTTGAAGTCATCTAGGCTGTTGAATGGAGCAAACGCGGCCACTGTTTTGGTTAAGTCAAGGTAGAAAATGAAAACAACGTTAGGCTGCAATCCACTTTAGTGGAGTTTCGTGATAATAATATGGCAACCACCAGATTATATATCTCAGCACCACACAGGAACAGCCCGGGCAAGTTGTTTGAAGAACTACATTGGCCAGTATAATCCACTTTATAAAGCTACATAGCAGCAGAACATTCAGATCACGTGTTTAATTCTTACTTTGATCTGTGATAGCTATTTAGTCGCACTGAATGATCATGTTTATTTTTCAGTGATGTCACCATATCGCAATTATATTAATCGCGAATAAATATTGTGATCATGACTGTACAGTCCATTACGAGTTTCAACAAGTTGAAACATTATGAGTTGAAAAGTGACCCCAAGCTCGAGCAATGACACCGACATATGTCGAATTGGTTCAGTATGTACCACTAGTTGAGGTAGATTAATCCAGCATTCTTTTTCAATGTAGTTGTAAGTTTGTAATGTTGACGCCTTTTTAATATAGACAACACGTTGCAACTGATATTCAGTGCGACTATATATACACCCCAGCCATTCTTTTTAATGAAATCGCGTGAAGCGTTGACCTTTGTAATGTCCCTGGATATATTTGGGAATGTACCGCAATTCTTTTAAACGTTCCGCCGCGCCACGCACCCTCCTCTCCGCCTCTCGCCTCTCGGCCCGCCACGACGTCGCGCGTTTTTTCAGCGTGACATAGCATTATTGATAAGAAAGTGGCGCGAGCCAGGTTATAGGGCTGGCGCCTGCACGGTAGCCGTTCGGGAGAAGGACATAGATAACATTTGGACACTTGAAAGAGGAAGGTTGGACACTTTGGAGAGGATATGGAGGAAAATGTCGCTATTTTCTCTATATTAGGAGACTTTAGGACGCTGGACACTGTAGCTTCTAATATGGGCGAGAACTAACAAGATTTTTTACAGGATGCGCAAACGCAGACATTCTTATGCGCGAGCACTGTCTGGTGCACTATTTCTTTTGAGATGCATTCGCACTGTCAGCCTTATCTCTGCGACCATGTGTTCAGAAATCAGGTGTGACGACGATCGGCGTATAGCAATTTTGTTGTTTTTTGCCGATAATAGGAACTACCGTATCCTCTCACACCTCACTGACAAGGGCTACTGGAGTCGGCGCAAGCCTACCTCCTACCGAGGTCGACCAGCTAGTTTTCTGCTTATGCCCTGGATGAAACCTCGCTGTTGTAAGCACGCCACATGAGCACATAGCTCTGAACCTCTACAGTGCCGAGCACCTCTGCCTAAGCGAGCATACCTATCATGTGTCCTTTTACATTGTCGCTCCCAGTAATGCATGGAAAGTCAAGAAACAAGTCATCCTCTGTGGCATCAAGGCATTCTCTATGGCATCAAGGCATTCTCTATGACATAACGACATTCTCTATGACATAAAAAACATTCTCTATGGCATCGACCACGAGAACGAGCCCCTCCGAACTTATGGATCGTTTCATTATCCCTGGCCACAACGTAATTGTATTTAAGGTAATTGTATGAACACGAATGAAACTTGGTAGTTGCCGTACAGAATAAAGAAAAGCACAACGAAGGTAATTATCTGGGAGTAGTCAGCGTACGGTCAATTCAATGGTGTTGTAGTATTTATTAGATACAACTCAAAGCCTTGAGGCTTTCCGAAATTTCACTCATGGATAATGACTATTTCTCACTAAAAACCAACGCCGCCGACATCACCGACGACACGAGATGTCCTAAATAGCGTCGGGATAAACATTATAAAAAAAAGAACATTATGTAGCCATCCTCCCTATAACCATGAGCAGGGTTCCATTATAAGTTGTTGATCTAGTCTTCAGCACTTCAGTAATCAACACGGCTCGTCCACGGCCTTCTCAAAAGCTGTGACTTTCCAGTCAAATGCCAAAACACTGGACTCAATTAGGTCGGCGAAGCTCCTGCCTCGTTGACTGACTGTACTCCTGTGAGCGTGCAGGACCATCTTTGTGCCTTTCTCTGTTTTTTTTTTCAATTCCCATTCCCCTATCTCTTGTGGAGGGTAGCAAACCAGACGGTCTTCTTGTTAACAACCCTGCCTTTCCTCTTAATGCTTTCCGTCTTCTCCTTCAGGTTGGAGGCTAAGTTCATCGCAGTGTACCACCGCCCTCGCGCACACACACTCTTTAGTAAGTCAATGTATTGTGGGCAGACTATGTGCACTTTCTCCTCTTAGGTTACTCATAAAGGGGGTAGGGCTGCCCCCCTTGTGCGCACGCCTATGACACTCCCACCTTCTCAAGTCGCACCGGAAGCTCACAATGCTTCATAATCATTCACCAGCGTACCAACCTGCAGAGAGAGAACATGTTCACAGTGAATTGCGTGTACGTCAAGGATACTGGCCAAGGCGCCACCAATGGTGGCTGCCGTGGAGATGATTCTAGCGTATCCAAGCATTGGACGGCAGTGTTCTCGACCCAGAAGCCACACGAACAAGGCCTGTATGATGAAGTAGCCCGTCGAGAAGACGAACGTCAGACCGGCGCCCGCGATGTGTGGAAGCAGAACTGGAAGTAGCTGCGGGGAAAAAAACAAAACAAAATCTAAAATTTACACGAAACACTATAAGAACGAGGTAAGTGGGAACAGTAATTGTGGGATTTTTAGGTCTCAAACTCCGACGTGATAACGAGGGACGCTGTAATGAAGGGCTCCGAAAGGACCCAAGATCTTCAGTTCTTTGCCATGCACCTAAATCTAAGTCCATCGATATAACTGGTTTCCGTGGATAATGTCAGCACGGTGATCTGGCACGTTGCTTTATTTCATGCTCTACGCAGACTTTGGAGGGGGGCATATTTTTAAATAAAATTAAGTGTTGTTAGTAGCCACCAGTATAACAGCCTTTGCTTCTATATTTCTTCATTTTTTTGATGATTCAAAGGCTTTCTTCAAGTTTAACTAAGTAGACGGGCCCTCAAGATTTTGACGCGCTAAGGGTTGCGCCTCCGAGGCTGCGATTCGATCGCGCGAGCTTCGGGTCACCCTTCGAACACCACAATCATTAGACCACCACGGAGAGCGACGTGGCATGTGGATAGAGGCTCAAATATTTATATAAAATATTCTTTTTCCTGTACATACACAAGTGCGTGAAAATTGATTGCATGGTTCTGACACCTGGGTTTTACAGAAATGTAATTAAAAACAAATAAAATTCTCTTTCTTTGCCCCGTACTAAAACTGCCACACTAATACGGGGGCACAGTCTTAGTTAACTTTGGCACTCTTGGGTTCATTAGCATGCACTTAGAATTTCAGGCATCCCTTATGTTTTTCCGTGTATAGTCTTCGGTCATCGCAATGCATCGGCCGTGGTCAGGCATTGAATGTGCGCTGTGGAGCTTAGTATTGCACCAAATTAGCACTAGGATACCACGGAAGGTTGTAATTTAATGTTGACTGAACTGTGATTGAGCAAAGCATATCAACATGAAGTTACTTTTTCAGATGGAGAAAGAGGGACGCATTGCGAAGCAAAGCGATTCTGCAAAAGAAGCAGCAGCGACGCAGTGAAGGGCGTAATGGTCTGTGAACAGGCAATAAAATTTCACTGTAAATTACTATATGCAGCGATAGAAAAATGAGGCACCTAAACAATACATGCATTACATATAGTGCTATTCAATGAGACCCGAATGGCGAGTGTGTTGACTAGCTTCATGCCAATGAAAGTCATATTGGAGTGAATGGGATTCAAATCGACATTGTGCGTGCATTTTTCCTTCGCAGCAAACATTCTACACGTCCAATCAATATGCCATGTTTCATATAACATTATCAAAGAGGCGTCCCGGACGACGCAAAATAAAAAAAAAAACAGTTTTTATAGGATCAATACAAATAAATGGACAAATTTATTCTTAGAGCATGCTTTCGAAACTCTACACGTTTATTCAGGTATTGGTTAAATCCAGGCTATATCTAGAAAGCCAGACAGAAAATGTACAGTTTCCTGGCTAGAGCTCAAGCTTTAGGTGGGACCTTATTCAGAGGGTACTTTCATTATATACGCTAATCTTGGAACTTCCCAGTGGTGTCGAAGTTCTGTGGGTTTTTTTATTTTATGTGTTTTTTCGTACTGTCCAAGTTCATTCTGAAAGTAATATTGACTTCTCTTTTCTTACGGAGGGAATAAGACGCAGACGAGAGGGACACAATATACATGAACGAACACCATTTTTTTTTTTACTAACAACTGATTTTGTTTCAAGGGGAATACATATAGGCTCACATTACGACAGCGCTGATCACATGGTGTTTTTAAAAGCGATAAAGTTGTTCGTGATGGCGTATCACTAACGAAAATAAAAATATGATCAATGATAGGTGGTGTATAAAGCTTAAATAGCATGAAAATAAAATAAATATTGTGGAGATTGCAGCAACGAGTTTTGAAACAGATAACACAGTCAGAACCAATAAACGTAACATTTTTCCTGTTTTTCGGCCATGTGTGGTAGGTATTCCACCTAACGCTAGAAGTTACTTCAACCCGAGTGCTTCTAAAAAAGACGTTCCGCATTCGTATAACACTTCTCGCGTTCATCTCGTTTCCGCTTTATTCCTTCCGTAAAACATGCATCGACTAGCCAAACGAAAAGTTCTATTTGGCTTTTCGCTAGTTAATACATAGTGCGAACTACGGATAAGACAACGATTGTCATTAATGTACCTGGTTAATTGAACGGTTCGCATAAGCCGGATGGATTTCATGCTCGTTTGGTGGTTCCAAAATAAACACTGCTCACCGATTTACTTAGAGCACACTCCTTAGAACATAGACACGTGTTCGGGATCGAAAAGTAAAATTTAAATTGGTCTCGATCTGACCGGTGCGCGAACGAAGCAAAGGCTTCAACGCAGCGGTCGACTTACGGAGGTTCAGCACTGACTCCGTCTCGGTTCAATAGCTTCCCTACGCAAAGTAGGCGCTTCGCCGACTTCAGAGCCTGCAACCAGTCGGAAGAGGAAGAAGAGGAGGTAGGAGATAGTAGCATTCAGAGGCAGAAGAAAGCAGTGGGAGATAAAGAAAGATGAGAGTGCAACAGATGTGCAACACACCCCAAAAATAGCGAGAAAAGAGTGAGAAGATGTGTAGGACAAGCAGCATGTCGAGGAAACTCGTAGAACGCGGTAAGCAGCAAACACGGCATAGGCGGGAGAGCACATAACCATGCTCAGCTGCAAACAAAAAGTGTTCTTCACAATAACGAACGAAAAAAAAGAATAGAATTATTTCAACACTTTAGAGCGGGATTTTACATGCCATGAATGCGGCGCTTAGGTGCTACCTTCATCTTTGACGTGAACGCCAGAGCTAGTGTACCCCGGTATATTCCTTGGGCTAACTCGGTGTGTCTTGTGCTGCCGAAGCGAAGCACAGAGCTCACGCAGAAAAAGGCAACTGGTCGAGATCTGTTTCACCGGCTGTCGTAATGATAGCAGCTGTTCACAATCTCCTAAGGAACTGAATGGTTTTGGCGGGCAACATAGCCCCACACAAGCAAAACAAGACCTCATTATGGATGGTGCCTCAACCCCTCCCGCCAAATATCCTGTTGCCCTCACCAGAAGCATGTGAGAGGCTCATTAAAGAGCACAAACTGCCACACACAGACAAGGCTGGCGGACTGGTATGTTTGAGTTGCGGCTCCCTGGATGGCGGGCTCGCCTACTCCCCCTCTTCACCTGGTTCATGGAGTCCCCTTCCCATACCTATTCCTCACCACTAACGTTTATTCCTTCTCCTTTCCATGAATAAACATAATTAGTTTTAATCAGTTACACCGACTGTTCATTGGCCTTCATGTCAAGTAAACTTATGCTTCAATGTCCTATGTATTCAACATAATTAAACCGCACCCACCAATTTATATTTTGTAGGAGACATTTATAAATATTCTCCAAACCTGAAGTGAGTCTTCAACTGGATGTGCATTAGAAGAAAGGCAAGAGTGTCACTCGGTGTTTCGTGCCAACATAAAAAAAACTCTCAGTACTGTACGCGGTAGCATTGAGCGGTTCATTGTGTTCCTTACACAAACCACCGAAGCAAATAGGCACGGTCTCAGATGATATCTAATAGCCTTTTAATAATGAGCCAGGGAACACGTTGATCGGAACTACAGAACAGACGCGTTGCGTTACGCTTGACACACTTAATAGGCAGTTTGGTTCGACCAGTTGATTGATATGTGAGGTTTAACGTTCCAAAACCCCCATATGATTATGAGAAACGCCGTAGTGGAGGGCTCCGGAAATTTCGACCACCTGGGGTTCTTTAACGTGCACCCAAATCTGAGCACACGGGCCTACAACATCTCCATCCGCCTCCATCGGAAATGCAGCCGCCGCAGTCGGGATTTTCGATGTGCCGGTAGATTCGAATCACTGACGGTGTTCCCGTGTGCCAGTACAGACCTTGGGCTGACTAGCAGCGTGGTTAAAAGCATGTTAATCAGCGAGGAGTGACCTGCGAATTCAATTAGGATGCGTTTCACGAAGGCAGTGAGCAAATAGGTCGAAAGCTACTGCATGAGGAGCGTTTAATGTTCTAAAAAGTTCAATTTTCCGGAGAGAAAAAGAGATTTTAAACATTTTGCCGAACATCGAAGACCCCCCTCCCCCCCCCAAAAAATATGGAATAACAAAAACTTAGCTGAAGTTTGGCTTCAAGACGTAGATGAAGCTGTGAAATGTTCTGTTTTAGGTTGCGTTCGGCGATCGCATCTTCGAAGAAATTCAGGTCGGAGTGAATGTGAACCTTATACTATTTTAGCGAAGAAGCCGCCATCATAATGTGTACATGTGAATGGCTCGAGAGACGGAAGGCCGGTAGGATAAATAAATAGATAGATTGATAGAAAAATAGATAAATAGAGAGATTGATAGAAAAATAGATAAATAGATAGATTGATAGAAAAATGGATAAATAGATAGATATATAGATAAAGAGATAAATAGAGAGATAAATAGATAAATAGATAGATATATAGATAAAAAGATAAATAGATAGATATATAGATAGATAGATAGATAGATAGATATATAGATAGATAGATAGATAGATAGATAGATAGATAGATAGATAGATAGATAGATAAAGAAATAGACAGATAGATAGATAGATAAAGAAATAGATAGATAGATAAAGAGATAGATAGATAGATAGATAGATAGATAAAGAGACAGATAGACAGATAGATAGATACATAGATAGATAGATAAAGAGACAGATAGACAGATAGATAGATACATAGATAGATAGATAGATAGATAGATAGATAGATAGATAGATAGATAGAGATAGATAGATAGATAGATCTTGCCTCACCCAAGTGCCATCCCGCCGTATGTGGCTGACGGGATTTGTAGCCACCATGGCCATGCCGGTGCCAGCCAGTACGGCGCTAATGAGCGACAAGTAGTTGAGCAGCGTGACAATCTTCTTGTGCTTGCAATCCACCGCTTTCACCGCGAAGAAGCGAACCAGCATTGGTGTCAGGCCTGTTTGTGGGAACAATGTTGGGCGTTTGTCACTTGTTTGTGACCACACAGTAAAGGGTGAACTAACAAAGAGGAAAAGAGAAGGGTAAAGGAAGAGCAGGGAAGTTAACTGGGCTGTAGCTGGTTTGCCACACTACACTGGAGGGTTGGGAGAAGGAGAGAAAAAAAATAAAGGAGGAAGACAGAGTAGAAGTAATATGCGCATACACACAGTGTTCACCGCGCAAACCCAGACACTGATCCGAAAAATTGATTAGCGGATTCTTATGAGGTTGACTTGGCTAGAATTTAAAATGTTGAAATGCCAGCAGCTAGATGCGGTGGCAGCAGATGCTGTGTACCAAATTGTGTTGTGTGCTTCTTTGCGTGTGTGCGTGTGTGCGTGCGTGCTTGCGTGTGTGTGTGTGTGTGTGTGTGTTTAGAAATGTAGGGTCGAAAACACAAGCCGGAGTGATTAGCTATCCAAGACCAAACGCTAACACCTCCATATGTGCAATTTTCGCGCAGTTATTCTGTGAAATATCACACATGTATCCGATTTTCGTTTTAAGAACGATTAGTAATATATACACTCGGGTGATTCTTTGAAAACAGAGCAGGTTTTCGATCGACAAAGGCACTAACACGGGCATACCGCTTTTCTGAAACTTTGCCCCCCCCCCCCCCCATGCACACACACAAACACACAAAAACAGAACTCTAAAGATGTGTTATCAAACAGGTAAAATAGACACAATTAGGCTACGCTGTAGCGATTAGAAACTTTGTATGCTTCGAGCAAGATGACGTTGCTTTTTTTTTTAAACACACTTGAAAACTCTTCCAGGAGGACCTAACTGAACCGGTCATGTCTGTCTTGAGTGTCCCAGATAAGACACGGTGAAGAGAGCCCGTCATATGCTGCAGCTAACGCACCATCGCGCAGTTAGTGCTTAATGTGCCAGCTACAACAAGGATAAAATACCAATATTTCTTGTTTTACGGTTATACCTAGGATCTCATAAGAGTGTAGGATTGAAAATACCGATTCGAATATGCTATTCAGTGAAGTTTACAGCAGTTTAGCTCGAGTGGATGAAGATACCACTGTAGCCTCATAATCACAAATGGGGATAGATTAGATGATTGAATTTTGTAAGACAGTGTAAGGAAACAAGAAGAAGGCATGCACTTCTCTTAATACAGGACACAAAAATATTTATTGGATGGATTAATGTACGAATATGTCCTAAAGTTTTGACCCATGTTGACGAAAAAACGATTGCACAAAGCAGGACAAAGTGTTTCCAAGTTTTTTTTTTTCTTCCGTATCAGAAACGAAGATTTTCTCCGTGCCTATAAATGCGACTTATGATAGCGTCCATATCCGCTTACTCTTTGAGAAGATAACACGCACAATGACCCAGTTCATTCATGATCACTTCTTACAAATGAAGATCACACGGCATAGCCATGCACGATTGAATGCATATCGGTACAATAGAGACAAACTTTCGATATTTGTTAGCTCGACGTTACTGGTCCTTTAGCGGACCAGAGAAAACATCCTTATACAGTCCTGTATAGATATAACAGAACCATTCGATTAACTCCCTAGAGTTGATGTATTCATTTAGCAAGGAAAAAAAAACGATGAGAACAACAAACACGTGGTGGCCATAATTATGTCCCGTCCACGTTGCCGACGACAAGAGCGAAAAAAAAAAGGTTTGAATTACAAAAGCAGTGCTGTATACCTGAAAGTATGCAGGCGATCATGGCGAGCCCGAATAGTGCACTTTGCGGAGGATTGCCACCTGCATCGCTGTAACAAAAACAAATGACACCACTTTAGGACTCATCAGTCATCACGAATGTGAACATACAGAAAACTCAATAGATCAGAAGACGCGCCATTTCACGATCACAAACCCTACAAAAAAGCGGGTTGTCTCTGACGTAAATGGCGATAAAGTGAAAGGAGGCTGAGTTACTGTAGGACACTTTTTTTTTAGCCGAACTTTTCCTCTATCGTTTTACTTAGTACCAAACTGAACGGCATACGCTGATTTTCCAACTCAGTGAAATCTCATTTCTTCCCAGTAACGTGCATTTCTGCTTGTTTTAGACCTCTTGTGTATGCGCAAAGTTATGTACACCTCACTGAAAGCCCAGATATCGCAAATAATTTACTCATATAATCAGTCGCCCCTTCACTACGTCTTCCACAGCAAACATATTTGTGGACCGAAGCGAGATATCGTGCCCCAGCTGCTCGCACACCAAAAATAGCTCGCGTAAACGCTACATTTAACCGGCAAGTGCATTAAATTGTTCTTTAATTCTGCCGCGCATGGAATGCAAAACTTTCGCGCTTTCAAATAAGCAAACTGTGTTATACGGCTTTTCATACTTTATGTCAGCCCAGTTACGCGTTAACTAACGCAACAGGTTAAATAGCTCACTTCAAAGAAATTCTGGGGCCGGCGTCTGTGTCGGCGTCGTTGGTTGTGAGCGAAAAAAACATCACCTTGCCGTGATTCAAAATAAGGGATGGTGCAAATAAAATAATAAACAACTCCGGGTCTGAAGGAGAACTAAACCCAGGCTACCTGCGGGGCAAGCAAGTATTCTACAACAAAGACACGCTATTTTTTCAAGCTGCTTAAAAAAAGCTTATATGAATGTCCCGCAATTAAAAGAACCTCTTTAACGCATGCAACATGGCGTGTCAGTAGTGTAGAACGCCCAGTCGTCAAAAGATCTGGATTGAGCAACGAGTGTGTGTTTTAAAGGCCCATCCATTACAAAGCGCTCAGGCATATTTAATCGTCATCAGCAACAGGAACTCAGCAGGCCACCTTGGCTCTATCTTTCGTTGCCACTGACCGCACCACCATTTACACAGATTCGCTCACAATCACATGGGCTTTCAGACTGGCCTCGGTTTGTCGGAAGTCATGCGTTTCGTCTACTGCCAATTGGTCAGAAAAAAAAAGCACGTCACCTGGTTCCCAGCACACGTCGGCCAACACGTACATGAAACCATCTTTAATTTAATTAAAAGTGCGGAACGAAAGTACGGAAGTACAGGGGAAGTACCTATTCACGAACACCTCACCCCCCCCCCCCCAAATAAGAGCTTGGTATATCACTTTACATCTGTTACAGACGGAGGCGTATACTTCGCCTCTGAAATGTTCTAAATAAATAGGTGGCATAGAGCTGGTATGCCCACGCTGTGGCCATCTCAAACGTACGTTTCACCACATGATGTGGCAATGCCGTCCGTTGCGTGGGAGCAGTAAGTCTCCCTCTACGTCAGTAAACTGGGACTATCTTCTCACTAGGCAAGACAGAAGACACCAGTTAAGGGCGATCCAGAGGGTCCATGACGTGACCGTGGAGTTTAACCTGCCCGTCCTGTCATGGAAGTGGCCCACCGGTGTCACCCTTTGAGACGGGTCGAGCGGCGCCTACGGATAATAATAAAGTTCTTTGCCTGTCTGCTTGCCCGTCTCGCGTTGGCTTATACGTACCCGCAGTAGGTTCTCCAATTCGCAAAAGGAATAATTAGAGAGTTTTAGTACTGCGGAACGGTGCTACGTACGCATCACGATAGTGCCTTGCGTTACGTGGCGTCGTTTGCCACTAATCGGCTCTCAGTACGCCGTAGCACCCGCGTACGTAATGAGCGTGAAGCGTGTTGCGCCATCTGGTAGATCAAAATAAAAGCACGTGTTGTTGGCAGCCACTGTGAGCCAATCCAAGTGTTATAGCCAGATTATGGCCATATTTTAAGCCAGAGAGCCGGTCGGTGCTTGCCTTTGATGCCGCCATTTTGCAAAACGAAGTCTCGCGCTGTCGCGAACTTGTTCGAGAGCGGCGCGATCAGCTCATACGTACGCACGCACGCATCTCATGTGTGCGTACGTAGCGGCTGCGTACGTAACGCGATACGCGCGCGTTGCGGTCTGCGCATGCGCACTACGCAGAACGTGGCGTCCTTACGTACGCAACGCCGCCATGTACGCAGCGTACGCAGTACTAAAACTCTCTAATATGGCGTTGTGGGCACCTAATAACATTACTCTAAGTAGGCATTCAAGGATGCCAATAATCGGCCAATGTTACGTGCTCAGTCGTTTGTCTCTTTACCACACAGTTTATGCATGCACAGAGAAGCGATGCCAGACTATGGCAACTGAGAAGGCGATGCGCGCGAGGCCCCGATTACGCGGTTGCGTCCTATACTCTTGAAGACGAAGCTCATGCGTCCGCCATGTTTTAGGGGTGAAGGTCCTTACGAGCTAGCCCTGTCTTCCGTTGTGGTCACGGTATAGAATCATTGCTTAGTCGAAACATATGCAATAAACAAAATGGTTTCGCAAACGATTTCAAGGTAGACCTACAGTTTATTATCTCTCACATAGAATAAGACATCACTGCTCTCGGCGAAAATAAGCTATCGAGGAAAGTATTGATAAAATGATCGATAGAAGAAAAATGTGCCTATAGTTCTAAGATGTCGCGGCTTTTAAAAAAAAAACTGGTAACATGAAAGCGCACGTCGAGCACTGTGATATATGACCCGACATATTACGCATATTAAAATGGCACATTCCCGCCGGTAAGATGGCGGGTTCTTGAATTCACTTTGGAGGCATATCCTTCATTCCAACAATTTTCTAAATCTTCCCTTGATTACGTAAGATAGGTGGAAGGTAAAATAAATTAATATTTTTGATACACTTTATGCGACTAAGCTTAGAGTACATGGGTCAACGCTCGCAATTACGTATGGTTAACAAGCGACGCATTACCTAGAGCTTCGCCCATTTGTCGTGATTCACTACGTGATGACTTCTTTCTTCTACTTTGTACTTTTCCTCTGCATGCCGGCCGTGGCTCTTTATGAGAATTTCGCACTCGGCTCGCAAGACCATTTGTAACGGTTAAAGTTAACACCGAAACGCATGTAATTGTACATTTTCGTATCCAAACAATTAGAGCAGCTTAAATAGAATTACCTGCGATGCATGAAATAGCGTTTATCAGGCATTCACTTCCTTCAGGCGGCAATCATCAAAACGGCAAACTGTAAAAACTTAGGCGCACATCGAAGGCATCAGCCCATTTCAATCAGAGGATACGTGGACAACTTTGTGGACTACTGTTGCAAGATTTAAAGAGATCCGCGTATGTACAGGAACCTTCTCCTGCTTTATGCCATAAGTTAAAATTTCCAACTGAATAAAGATGGTCATTTGTCCCTCGTAGAGTTCCGAGTTGTGTACATGTTCAATTTGTTACGTTATGCTTGTTCATCTCGTAAATAATTTGGTACGCACACTTACTTCTGCCTTTAGTTAATCTATTGTAGTTTTGTTGAATAATTTGTCACCTTCATTTTTTTTTCAACATTTATTCTGTGTGTAAGGTTTCTTATTTATAATTTTATGATAGCGGACCATACGTGTTGTCAAACTTCCTAGATTTCCGATGAAAAGTCCGAAACAATCCTAAACAAATTTTCACCCTTTACACGTTTCTATTACGCTTGCTACCTAACAATGTTGAGAAAAAAACAATATTTGATAATGCTAAATGAGTAGCCATATTAGTGCTCTGGGAGGAAAACGAAGCTTGTATGAAAAGCCAGAGGACAAAACGCTTCTGCGCATCATGATGGGAGTCATCAGCTTTAGTTGCAACAAAACAATGAGCATCTTGGAAACGTCTCGCAACCTTCAAGAAGAGTGCCGTTTCTCTTTCTTCGACGCAGCTTCCTGTATCGCTAGAAGAACGTTATATTTCCGTGTTAGTGTCATGTATTGTATGCAACACATATACGCTTCCTCCTACGTGACCTACGAAAAATCTCTTTCCACGTGTCTCATTTATTCAGCAGGTCTCAGCCAATGTGTACGTCGCAGTTCATCGAAACAATACTCGTGTTGCGGAAACAATAACTTAAACGCGCTAATACAATGCCCCACGTGCCTCGAGATCTCTCGAACTGATGCGACAGCTACCTGTTTAACGTAGTGCTTGAATTTGTATGAATGAATGTATGACGACACAACGCTCTTTTCAATGCAAAAAGTGGGTTCATGTAAGTATAGAACGTGATCTCCAGTTTCGTGGAAAGTCGTCACAATGTAATCCAGGAGAACATAACAGTACGCAATGCGCTTACTGCGTGACGCATCGTGCGCACTAGGTGAGACCCGTTTAAATTCACAGGGCACAGTTTTCGTGTGTTGCTGAGAAGAAGCATACTTAAAATTTCAAGGAGAATTGCCAACTGTGCGAAATTTTCGTCGTTTAGCGAGATGTGAGAGACTCAAGTACAATCGCACGAAAGTGAGGAGACAGGCAGTGTCGCAATGAACGAAACTGCATTCATTTTGCTCTGGTTGCACAACTCGTAGCGGACCGAAGTGGTCTCGCCTTTAGTGGGTTCCACGGTGCTTTAAATGCACCTTACGCAACCTGTTCTTGGCTTCAAAGTAGAAATAGCCCACTTTTAAAAAAAAGTCAGGCAATTATTTTCCTTAACTGAAGAAAAAAAAACTATAGACAGACGCTTCAACAATGATTATAGGGGCTCGTGTCCGCGAGGAACTCTTACGTTACGTAATTGTTCTCAAGGACAAGTTATTGTCGACCATTTATTTAGAACGAATTATTAGCGAATGCGACCGCGCAATGACAACATGAAGTTACGCAATGAAGACATCACGTGGTCGGTCCCAGAACAGCAGGACTCGATTTATAGCAAGACGGAAAGTGTAGAGGAAGAATGGCCGATTTTTTATTCTAAATCGGGGAGAGAGAGGGTGCAATGAAATGTAACTCTTAGGTACACTTTCTAATCTTATTAATGTAAGAGCTAGCGATGAAAGTACAGGTAAGCATCACTGGACAAAGAAAGGTCTGAATTCCATAACTTTTTGTCCGTAATTTACACTCAACAGCAGGCCTTTCTAATCAAAGCAAAGCGGAAAGTGTAAGAACACAGAAAAAAGACAGGGAAAAATAGAGTGAACAATCCCTGGATATACAGTAAAACGTATTGTTACCATAGCCAGAAGAAAAGAGATGGGGAGATGAAAGAGAGCGAGAAAGAAAATACGTGGTTGAAAAGTTTCGTTTGAAGTTCAGCGCAGTGACAGAATGAGTGAATTACGTTCTCTTGGCAGTCGCACACATCAGACCCAGCACTGCAGATCATTCCAAATAAATAAACAGACACATAAATGCGAAAATTTGTCTTATACCTGACGTACGGCAGAAACACGGGCACGTCTCCGATGAGGACGCTCCACGCGTAGACGATCATAACGGTGATGGTCATGGTGAACACGAAAATCCATGGGAACCAGTGGAGCTTGGAGACCTTGATCTCCATACCGCTGACAACTTGCAGGTAGTTTCCTTCCTGCACGAGATGAATGAACGCGTGCTGTAATTGCGGAGACGCTGCGAGAACGTTTCTTTCGCACATGAATGTAGAAAGCGACGTCCAACAAGACAAAGAGTTCAAGCTTCGAAGCAGCCAAAAACACGTGGTTAATGAGTAGCATCCACTTAAAACACCATGAACGACGTCTCAGAAATTTGGTTGCCAGGTGCAGTGATGTATACTGTCACTACTTTTTTCTGTCGCCAGAGCTTGACTGACGGCCTCTTACGCAGTGGTTTCCTTGACATAGAAGAAAGGAACAGCTTATCGTTGCACGCACCTACGTCACGGTAAAATGAACGCGTTTTCAAGAGCAATAATAATCATTCAGCAAAGTTATAAAGGTATACAACTTGGCACATTATGTAGACTCAAACGTTCCTCAATATCAGGTAAAGAAGGTAGTGTGGCAAAAAAATAATAACATAGAAACAGCACTTGGTCTCATAGCCTGCCTAGAAGAAGGTGGGTAATAAGTGAAGGAAATACACAGTGAAATGAAGAACACAGCACGAAGAACGCTTTTCATTCATTTACATCTACACGTACCTTTATGATTGCATACCACAAACGCACCGCCTAGAACAACATTTGGTAGTCTTAAAAGGCTGTTTAGCTAATGTAATATGGCTGTTCTGTGCTAGATGCTGTGCTACCGAAAGTGTTTTCAAAAAGTAATACTGATGCCGCACTTTAAACGGGCTTACCAAACTATCTGGCTCTGTCAAGCGTAAGCGCATGTTTTGTGGAAAGCTTACACGCACCATAAGAAACGCCTACAACGTTCTTATAGTGATCGCACATGCTCTTGCGGAAAGCAGACAGCCACTAAAAATATTTTTCCATTAGTTCTCCGGAATAACACGTGTCAAAGGACTGTCAAGCTGATATCTATTGCAGTCGACTTACACTGGTGCTGCTCCTTGTAAAAACGTCTGTCAGCTCCACTTCGCAACTGCCCGTGCAGAAGGCAGCATGTAAGGCCGCGATCCTAAACCAAATACATTCACAATAGCTGAGCAAAAATGTCCATACGCCATGCCTTGAGGGGGTCCTCCACTTCTAGGTTGCCGCAGCGAAATCATTGCAACAGTCGCAATCAATCTCCGTGCTTATCGAAGGTGGCTGCGGCTGCGATTGTGTGGCGCACGCTTTGGTAAAAAATAGGCGTCCGCATTTCGCAGCGCGGGTATATATATATATATATATATATATATATATATATATATATATATATATATATTCATGACATCTTTATTGGAAGCATAAGTGCTGAACCCAGTAGGCGCGAAGAAAGGACCGCACTGGACAAGGCATCATTCACAATGAACGCTCCGCTAAAATACTGCTCCACTGTTTTTGTGTACCTAAGAACATAATCAATTGTTAGGATTTTAACGCAGCAACACTAGACGCATCCACGCATGCCAAAGGGTGCACTGCCATAAATAGTGAGTGAAAACAAGAGCATAAATTTTATCATGCTCGTAGTTAGCAATACTACTCTGGACCAGGTGGTGAAGCCATACATGTCTTACAAAAGTCACGCGTAGACTACATTTGCCTAAGAAGACTGAAATGCGAAAGCAATTTCCTCTTTCCATATCAAAGGACCATACTGGTGGGATACTTTGTAAGCTCCAGATTAACGCGTGTCTTCTTTACATAAGGTACAACGAGCGCGTCTCAATGCCTGCAAACAGTTATTTATGAAAATTTTCAGCGTTGGTCTTGTCTCGAATCAGAACGACCAATTGGGTGAGTTTGTGTGCCTTTCTTGAAAGAATATTAGCGCGATAGAAACAGACTGCTGCGCTTATTCGCAACTAATATTTCGTTTGATTTGGCCATTGAATGTCGAAGAAGTTCTTGTAAACCTTCTTTTGATAGAACGGAAATCTCGCATTGCCACCGCAACCAGCACTCATGGTAAATCACAGATGCATTCTAGATGTCACTGGAAGGTTACAAGAGTATCAGTCTGCCTTCGTTAGCCCTATCAAATGCAAAAGTATCACACCTCTCAGATAGCTTGCGTCACGTCCATGTCTGATCAGCCACATATGATGCTGTTATTTTTGTCTCATTGTGCACGTGAGAAGGTTGTTTGTTTTCTTAGTCTTTTCCAGATGTTAATAAATCCACTTTTCGGTATATGATTTGAGTTGCGAGTGAGTGCTGTAGTCTGTATTTCCTCTTCTAATCCTCGTTTCTGTCACCCCCTTGTTCGTTCAAGATGGCCGAAACTCGATACTAGCTCGAAGTGCAATTCATTTCGATTATATGAGCGAAGAAGCGATTCATTCATTCAACCGATGAACGTGTTCTGTATCCAAAACGGAGGAGCTTAGAACGCAGGTTTTAGAGATGCCTGCTAAATTTATGAGTTTCACTATTATCTTTATTGTTCTCTTCCCCTTGAAAATTCCCTGGCATGTCTAGTACTCGCTATCATTGTTAACTGAAGGAAAGATTACGCTCATGTTCAATTGCAATCAATAATTTCGGAATTGCACATGCTCCGAGAGATATGCCAGGGGCCATAGCGCTCGTGGTACATCGCATTTACACGGATGTACCACGAGTTTATATTTGCAGATCTTTACTACCTTAAAGCCGACTGTCACGTTGTAATAGAACACCAAAATATTTTTTTCTTCCTGGACGCAACAAATAGTCACGCCTTCCGTGGCAATCATGGTCGCGTACAATCGAATAAATACGGTATAAGCATTCATTAAAACTCCCTCGAAGCAAGCTGCGTGGGTACGGCTCTAAGAGGGCCACCACCTAGCCTTCGGAATATTCCTCCGCATGAATCACCGGACAGGGACATCGGATGACGTTGCGCTTACGTAAGCGTGACGCAAAAGCCATCGTCACGATACGTCTTCACGAATGCATTGCGTGTGCACTGTAATTAGACGCGCAGACTGCCAAAAATGCAAAAATAATGGCATACGAAAACGCCCTTGCGAAGTGCGAGCGAGAAAAAAAGCCCAACCACGTCGACGACGATTGAAAGAACCGATGCCTATCACGCACACCCGCTTAGCCTCAGGGTATTCGCGACGCTCGTGTGGCAGAACCGGTGCGCGTTGGCGCTTTGCCTGTGGAAGCACGTTTTCCGCACGCTTGAAGCTGAATTTGTGCGCGCTACGCTGCGTTAGGAAGTCTAAGAGGTCCATGAGGCAAAGTGTTGCCACTAAAGCCCCCGAAAGAAACCTTCACACACGCGCGAACTACTCGGCTAATCTCCGTGCTTATCGAAGGTGGCTGCGGCTGCGATTGTGTGGCGTACGCTTTGGTAAAAATATAGGCGTCCGCATTTCGCAGCGCGGGAATAGCAGGTCACGGACACACACTGGAGGGGTGAGGATTGCTTACTGAAGGACAAGACATAGTCTACCGATTTGCCTTCAAAACGGGGATGAATTAAAACGGAGAGGGAAAGAAGCTAGGAGCAGTTATAGATATGAAGACTGGCAAAACTTTCATGTCTCTTGAAATAAGAACGACCGTGGCTGCTTTTTTACGTTAGTGATACGATTGCGATACTATGTACGGAATATTTGTCACACACTCATACGAAACGACCCACTATTGAGCATAAATATGACACGCAGCGGTGGAATTCGCAATCAATATTAGATGTTAATGACTCGTCCTCATTTTTTTCTGAGTGTTTAGGTGCGCTGCATGAATACAGGTCGCCAGAGACTTACATCCACCCTGAGCTGAACTGGGAACATGCCACCAGCTTCTGAAAACTTTCCTAGCTTTGTAAACTTAATGTAAACTTAAGATTATTAGTTGATAAAGCCGAAATGAGGAATCTAGACGCCTATTTTTATTTACGAGCTGCTGTATCGATAGTTTTTGATGTTACGGTAGTGCGAGAGCTCCGTGGGGCAGCCTAATCAGTTCGCCTCTAGAATAACAGTCGTGAGCCCTTCATTACCATTGACCTTACTTGTATCATTTGTAGAATGTACGGCAAGAAACTCGGAGGGGCCCAGCGTGAGAATGACTCGGTGCACGCACGCACACTCAAACGCAGGCACGGAAGGTTGGCACAAGTGTGTGTGCTTCATGTTCACTATATGGTACGGTGTTGGGTGCCCTACATCAAAATTTAACGCTACGCAATACTAACCAGCCAAACACGAGACATTGTAATAACGCTGCGAATGTTTGAGTAGAGGATTGCGTTTCCCTGCTAAGAAGCAATCCTTGCACCAAACGGACGTATTCCGTCTAGACAAACTCGGCCCACTCTGTCTTGCAGCGGGCAAAAGAATACACGTGGTAGACTTACAGGTTCAGCTGCGCTGCGCGTGACCAGTAGCCCGTATCCTTGTGATTACCACACCGGGCTATTTATGGTATCCCATAATCGTATTTTGTCTTAAACCACTACTGTCAACCGCAACTGTCAAGGAGAGGGAACATTTTTTTGTTTAGAGCTATTTACAGCTACGTGATAGCTACGACACAAATTTCGGGTATTAGTGTTGTCAAGTTACATAAAAAGCTTGCTGTATAAACGCGCACTTCACCGACTTAACGTACGTGCACAATGGTGCGTGAGTGGTTTGCTTTCCTACATCCTGTCCTAGATTCTCTTTGTTCTTTCTCTTCACTATGCTGCTCTGCCTCTTTAAGCGAAACAAGCAGTTATCTGAGTGAAACAACGGTACATGAAGAGGCCCCCACTCGACGATATTGGGGCACGCAGCAATTTGCCCATACATGTTAATCTGTGACGTACAAATGAAGGTATCAGTGACGACAGAAGATAGCCGTGGGGTAAATATCACATGACGTTAACCAGGACAAAGCAAAACTGAAGATAGGTTCGCATATATTGAGTGCGATGTAATTTCAGGATGTTGGCATAGCGAGTTCTGGCTCAGTTCACCTTGCTACCCCATGCTTTCATACTAAAATGCAATTAAAAAGTTTGCACTTAGCCA